CACTGCACGCAGATGCCTCAGGGCCTCTGCACTGGCTGGTGTGCTGTCCGGAAGGTGTCGTCCCCTAACGTCTTCTTTCTTTTTCCTCACTTCTTTCAGGTGTTCTCCCACACGTCACCTGGTCAGGGATCAAGCACCCCCCAAACACACACACACACACACACACACATCGCCCATCCCCCCAGACCATCTATCTGTGTATGGCCCCTCGTCCCTGCTATGACACCAGCCCCGCAGCCACAGGGCTTCTCTGGCTCCCCGCACCCGTGAAAGAAGGGCCTCGATGCCTGCTGCAGAGTGAACAACCGAAGGAACAGCCCCTAATGAGGAAAGTGAGGCACAGACACTCGTCCAGCGGTAACAGGCAGAGTGCGGACCCTCACTCAGGTTCGTCAGAGCCCAGGCCCAGCAACCTCTCTGCCCGCTGTCTCCCGAGCCCAGAAATGTGAACTCCCTTTGGGCCGGGGACAAGGCTGGGGAGCCCCAGTACACCCCATCCCCCACCAGCTTCCAGCTGGCAAGTGGGTAGCTCCAGGCCATATAAACAGTGGCCAGAGAGACAGCAGAGGCTCCGCCATGTCTGGCCTGTCTGGCTGTGTCCTCCAGGACCCATGAGGGCGCCTGGCACCCAAAGGGCTTCTGAGGTCTGTGGGCTGATAAGAAAATGTAGTTAGCGCTTACTTGGTGCCTGACAGCTCCCTGTTTTACATGCACTAGGTGAACCCTCACACAGCTTGTGAGGAAGGAACATGACTGGCCCCACTGGACGGATGAAGAAACTGAGGCAGAGGATCAGCGGGCCTGCCCCGGCCCACAGTGAGACTGAAGGGAGTTGGGCTTGTAACCGCCCTGTGAGGCTGCTTCCTAAGGGGCAGCCAGGGTGACGGGGAGGGGGACCCTGAGGAGAGGCCATGAGCTGAGGTCTGAAGGAGGCATGGGGATTAATTGAGGGTGTGGCTGAGGGCAATGAACCCAGCAGCAGCGTGGGGTGGGGGCAGGGAGGAGGCAGACCCCTGTGTTGGTGGCCAGGTATCACACTCCCAACAGACTCTATGCCCAGCCTCGACCTTGAGGGCCTTCCTCTGCCCCTCTGCCCAGCCCCAGACGGGCAGGGCCTGGGTAGACAAGTAGGTTCCTGCACTCAGGGCACCTGCCGTCCCTCACCCTCCAGACCCGTCTGGGCATGACTGGTTCCCGAGGAATCTAGGGGTACGTCTGTCCCAGGCACACAGAAGGCCACTTAGCACCCTACATGTTGCTACTGCTGGTCCACACCACACCTTTTCCAGTTTCAGGGGGGATTCTGTTAGAAAGAAGGAAAAAGTTCAAATAAAAATGCACCCATGCATTTACTGAGCACCTCCTACATGCAGGGCCTGTGCTGGGCTCCAGGATACAAAGCAGGATGTGTGGTGGCCCTGTCCTCCCCCAGGACATTGTTTGACCCTCCCCTCCACCCCGAAGCTGTGCAGAGAGGCCGCAGCAGAGGGGTGCGGCTGCAGCTTGAAGACAGGGTGAGCAGTCAGCTTGCCAGGCCGTGCTCTGACTCTGACAGCCGGGAGTGCGAGGGAAGGGCAGGGCAGGGCACACACAGTATTCTCCTCTGTCAGATAGCGTTGAGACTGTGACAGCAGAGCCTGGCATACAGCAGGCACTCAAAACACGTCACAGTGGCCCTTCCACTGTGTGAGGCGGAGGCAGAGGGAAGGAGGAAGCTCCACTGAGGGTCCCCTAGGCCAGCAGTAGGCAGGATGGGGACCGCCCACCGGGGCAGCACAGCACAGGTGGTCCTGGTGGATGGAGGCAAGAGGGTGCCGGACGCGGGCAGGAGGCTCCAGGTGAGAGACGCCTGCGTGTCATGGATTGAGTTGTGTTCCCCAAAGAAGATATGCTGAAGTCCTCACCCCTGTACCTGTGACTTTGTTTAGGGAAATAGGAATTTTCTTTGCAGATGTAATCAGTTAACGAAGTCATACCAGAGTAGAGGGGGTCCTAACCCTAATCCCTTCTGAGTGGCGTTTTATAAAAGAGGACCCATAGCCCACTGCCGCCAAGTCGATTCCCACTCATAGTGACCCTAAAGGACAGAGTAGAACCCCGTAGGGTTTCCAAGGAGCTGCTGGTGGATTCCAACTGCCGACCTTCTGGTTAGCAGCCGTGCTCTTAACCACTTCGCCACCAGGGCTCCACAGAAGAGTATAGACAGGGAAAAAGAGACACAGACTGGGGAAGACAGCATGTCAGGAGCCGTGGACAAACCAAGAAACGCCCAGGCTGCCAGAAGCTGAGAGAGATGAGGGAGAAAAGGGCCTGCTGACGCCCTGAATCCAGACTCCCAGCTTCTAGAGCTGCCCTCTGTGGGCACTGCAGCTCTGGGAGGGGAGACACTGTCCTTCAGCAACTGTCTGCCTTGAAAGACAGCTTTAGGACCGAGCTTGTTAAACCTGCCAAGAATCCAGGGCCAAGAGGCTCAGGGAGCAAAGCTCCCTCACAGCCTCGCCAAACTGGAACAATGAACTGAATCTAATGAGATCTGAACGGGGACAAACTGTGCAGAAGCCACTGGCCCGAAAACAGAGGGAGGGCTCTGACTCAGCACACACTGACGGGAAGACACTCGAGGAGGTGTGCACCAGATTCCAAACGAGGGTGCGCAGGGAGACGCCAGCTGGACCTCTGCTCACAGACACCGGGAGACGCTGGGTCCAGTCACCCTGGCAGGGCAGACCCCTGTGGCCGGGTGTCCCATGCAGCCCTGAAGCAACGTTGTCAAGGGGCTCAGACAGCTGGACCAAAGGCAGCGTAGAGACCCAATGTCTCCCACGCCCCAGACTCTCTTTCCCGAGCATGCAGCCCCAATGGGTGTGGGTAAAGTTTTCACCCTCGCTCTCCGAACTTTTGCTACCCTCGATCCCAAACTCAAAACTCAAACTCAACAGATTTGGGTGCCAAAGTACACTTGTGTATAAACGACACAGCCCAGAAAAAATGGTAAGAAAATCGGGATGAGGAGAAAATAAGAGAGAACGATGAGGCCCAGAGGAGGGGAGGGCAAACAAAGACCTGTCCGTTCCAGCGCTGTCCGCTTCTCCCCACTGCCACCTCCACCTCTTGGATGACCATGGTGGCCGCCTTACTATGCTCGTTCAGCAGAGTGGTCCTTCCCTCCGATCTGCTCCCCACACCCCTTTCCTAGGAACCCTTCAAGGGCCTCATGCGGCTCTCAGGATGAAGATCCACATCAGAGCGCAGCCACAGGCCCGGGCCCTCCGCCCTCCCAGCACACATATCCCCTCCCCTCACTCTCTGTGCCCCCACGTGCCCCTTCTCTCAGCTCCCCCGGTGGAATGCACCCCCGACGGCCACCGCACAGGCTGTTGCTCTGCCGGAGAGCTCTGCCCCCCTCTGCCGTTCACCTCGTAATGTCAGTCATCGCTTCTGCAGGGACGGCCGACTGGTCTGCGGGTCTAATCCACGCGCCGCCTCCCTACCCACGTGGCCCAGCTGCGATGTGACTTTACACATATGCCTACCACACAGTGAGGCCCATGAGGCAGGACGATGCCTGAGTTTGACCAGCACTGAACTCCAGCTCTTATCCCAGTGCTGCCGTACAGCCGGCTCTCCGTGTGCACATCTGGGGGAATGGAGCGCTGGTACGGCGGGAAACAGACAGCAAAGATGGCGCCAACCCGAGGAGGAGGTGGGCAATGGGGCCAGGCTGCAGGGAGACAGCTGAGGGGACAGTGGGGAGCTTATGTTGGGGTGCACCCCCGAGCAGAGGGCATGGGGAGGCCTGTCCCATTGAAGAGGGCCGTGGCCTGGTCCGGGGGCTGTAGTGACTCAACAGGATCACAGTCTGGGGCATCGGGGGTGGGTAGGGGCTGGCCCCCATTGTGAGGTCCGGTGGAATGCTCAGCTCAGGCTGCCCCAGCCCAGGCTGGCTTCTCCCCCTTCCGGCTCCACCAGGACTTTGCCCTGGCCTGTCCCTGGATTTCCTCAGCTCTCAGCTCCCCAAGAGGCCTGAGAGCTGCTGCCCACAGAGTCCCAGGAGGTCATAAGGACATGGCCTCGCTCGGCCCCTGGGCCAGACCCCCTGAGCTCTCCGCGCAGATAGTGCCGAGAGAGAAGAGCACGACGGAGACTGAGCGGCTGGAAGAGGAGGCCGCAGGCTCTGGGGACCAGAAGACAGATACGGCCTTGGGGTTTCAAAGGACTGAAGTCAGGGAGACTCAAGGAGCCACGGGACAGGGGGGCCACTGCTGTCAGAAGACTTGGAGGGACATGCATCATCAGACATGGGCACACTGAGCTGTGGGGAGCCAGGTGCTCCAACAGGCGGGCCCGGGGCCAGCAGCGCAGGCCAAGCAGGACCCTGAGGGATCAGAAGAAACCACAGGCAGGTGTCCCAGCCAGTGCGTCCCCAGGAGGACACCAACAGACTCGCCAGGTAGGATCAAGATGGAGGGAGGGGCCACCTGGCCAGGAAGTGGGCAGTGAGTTTTCATTCTGTACTCAGCAAACATCCCGGTCACCTATCACACTGGTCTAGGCATGTCTCTGGACGCTGGGGGTCCCCAGGCGAGGGCACAGTCCCTGCCCGCACAGTGAAGTGAAAGGAACAGCAACAGAGAGCCCTGCAGAGAGACCTGTGCTAAGGGCTCCAACAGGGAGGGACCACTGGCTGGGACCCAGGCCCTGCTGGGACCTTGGAGGCAGCGGGCAGCATCCAGGGACGAGAGGCGGCTTCGAGGAGGAGCATATTGAGAGTGAAGATGGCCAGACAGAGAAGCATCGGATGTTCCAGGCAGAGGCCAGGCCGTGCACAAGCCTGGAGGCATAGGCAGCTGCACCTAGCAGCCTCTGACCTCACAATACCGGCCCACTGGGCTGGCCTTGCAAACCTTGCGCCCGCTCCAATCCGGGCCTCGCCCGGGGCTCTGGGCAGCCTCCAGGTGCAGTGCCCCCCTGAGGGGTGCACCCTCGCGCTGCCCTGGGGCATGTCTCTGCTCGCCAGTTACGAGGGGCTGCGTCATCAGATCGAGAGGCTAGTGCGGGAAAACGAGGAACTGAAGAAGCTGGTGAGGCTCATTCGGGAGAACCACGAGCTCAGGTCGGCCATCAAGACCCAGGCAGGCGGCCTGGGGGTCAGCGGGTTCAGCAGTGGGCTTGGAGAGGCAGCTGCCGGCCCAGCACCACACCAAGGTAACTGTAAGATAGGAAGGGAAGGGAAGGCTGAGCCAAGAAGGGGGCCGCTGCAGGCGGGGGCTTGGGGCTCCCTGAGAGAGGAGCATGGGTAGGAGCAAGCTGACAGCTGACAGGCGGTGGCCCCACGGAAGAGGGAGGATGAGAACACAGGGCCATTGAGACAACAGGGCAAAGCTAGGCCCCAATCCCACTCACTCACTGTGGGGCCTGCCCACATCGCAGCCCTCAGCTAAACTTCCAAGAAGCTCACAGACGGAGAATTTCCCACCTCTGCTGGGCCAGATATGTCGCTGACCCTCAGCCTCCTCACCCCTCCCCCATCCCTCAGTCTTCCCTGCCTTATCCCTCAGCCCCCCATCCCTCCCCTGCAGCCCCTTTCCACCCTCCCCCATTACTGTCCAGTGGAAGATGGCCAGGGGCACTGACAGTACAAGTCTGAGAGCGAGGAGAAAAGGCAGGACTGAAGATCAAGGTCTGGGTGCCACATGCGTGACGGAGAGGGTGTCCAGAACTGGGTGAGCAGGGAGGATGGGCAGAGAAGGGCAGTGTCTGAAGAAGAGCGTTGGAGTGGTGGTCCCCAGTTAGGCCCAGAGCAGAGGGGCCGAGTGTGGTGACAGGAAGAACGGAAGCTGTGGGCAGAGTGGGGTTTGCCCTGAAGGTATCGCGGAGAGGACTCCTCGGGAGGCGAGGTGCAGGTGTGGCCAGGACTTCAGTGCTGAGATGGGGTGCTGGGGACGCCTACCAAGGGCACGTGGATGCCGCGGCTGTGCGTGCACACCCCTCTTACGGCCGCCCTCCTGTCCTCTCAAAGTGAACTTCTCTACGCGAACCACCCCCAGTGATGCGCCTCCGCCACATGCCTCCCACCTCTGCTCTGTGCTGGGCGCGCACCTCTGACCAGTCAGGCTGGGAAGCTCCCTCCTTTCTGCTCTTCCTGGCCTCTGCCCATCTGAGCCTCTAGAGCTGGCAGCAGACTCTGAAAGGGTCCTGGTGTCCTCCTACGTGCCACATCCTTGTCAACCTCCGTGTAGCATTAGGACCGATAGCCCCTCCTCCCCACCCGTCTCTCTGAGCAAGCCACACGCCCGCCCCCCAGCTAGGCTCCCAGCTCTGGGTTCAGCCCCTGCCCCTCCACCCTCAGCCAGCCCAGCCCCCATGGCTTCAGCGCTCCTTCAGCTGGCTCCCCTCCGAGAGGGCCTCTGGCCAACGAGAACCTGCAACTTAGCTGTCTCCAAACTAGACGTGTTTCTGACACAGCATTTGAGCCTTTCCACGGGGACGCTCAAGGCCCTGGGGTCTGTCCCCACCCCCTCCTCTCCTCTTGTCCAGGCTCAAAGCCTTTTTCCCTCACTCCCAACAGCTGCCTCCACCCAGCTTCCCCCTTACTGATCCCATGTACAAGCACACAGGCCCTTCGCCTTTCAAAGCTTGTACCGCTAAGGACTCAGGGAACCAAAAGAACACGCGCGGGCGAGGAAAACGCTCAAGAAATCTCAGTTTAAGAAACTAGACCCTGGGTTCTGACTCGGGGCTAACCAAGTAAGCCTTCTTCTCTTGCTTTGCTTCTTAAGGGAATCTTTGAACCACTGTAGAACTTGCAACGCCCTGGGGGCAAGCACAAGGCTTAGGCCATGTTCTGGAGCGGGGGAGCCACAGCTAGCGGTGGCGAAGCGGGAAAGGGCATCGCAGGCAGAGGACACGCTCCGGTAAAGCCTGGAACTTGGGAGTTACAGGACTGACAAGTAGATCAGTGTAGTTAAAGTCTACCCTCTGTGTGTGTGTGTGTGTGTGTGTGTGTGCGCGTGCGTGCATGCACGTGAGTGCACGTGATGAAAGAGTGTGTGAGTGTGATGTGTATGGAGTATTGTGGCATGTGTAGGTGTACAAAGTGTACGTGAGATGTGTGGGAGTGTGGTGTGTGGGTGTGTTTGTATAAGTCTGTTGTGTGTGTTTGTGTGATATGTGTAACTGTATGATGAGATGTGTGGTAGTATGTGTATGGGTGTGAACGTGGAATGTGTGTGAGTGTGAGTGTATAGGTGTTTGAGTGTATCTGAGTGTGCCTTGTGAGTGTGACTCTATGTGTGAATGTGTGTTAAGTGTGTAAGTTGTATGGTATGTGTGTTGTGTGTGAGTGGGGCATGTGAGAACATGTTTGCATGAGTGTAAGAGAGTGTGAGTGAATGTGTATGAAGTGTGTGTGTGGAGTGCAGTAGTGTTTCTGAGTGTGAGTGGACGTGTGGGTGGTTGTGCAGTGCATGTGATAAGAGTGTGTGTGAAGTGCATGCAAGTGCATGTTTGTGTGAATGTGTGTGACTGTGTGGTGTGCATGAGTGTGTATGTGGTGAATATAAGTATGGTGTGTGCATGTGCAGTATGTGTGTTTGCACGAGTGTGCGAGTGTGTGGAGTGTGAGTGAGTGAATGTGTGTATAATTGTATATGTGGTGTGTGTGCTGTTTGTGTTGTAGTAGGTGTGGTGTGTGTGTGTGTCTGAGTGTGTGCTTTGTGATGGTGAGTTTGAGTGTGTGTTAAGTGTGTGCACGGCATATGAGTTTTGTGGTATGCATGAATGTGTGGATGTGAGTGTGTGTGGATGTATGTGTTTCTGTGTGTGCTATGTGTGTGTTTGGGAGTGTGCTGTGTGTGAATGTGTGGGCATGTGACTGTGTGTGTCAGCATATGTGTGAGCGTATGTGGTGTGTGTGGTGTGTATTAGTGTGGGGGTTTTGTGCGGTGTATGGTGAGTTGTGTGGTGTGTGTGTTTGTGTGTGTCAGCGTGGTGTGTAGTGTGTGTGTGATTGTAGGTGAGTGTGTGGGATGTGTGAGGTGTGAGTGTGTATTAGTGTGGGGGTTGTGTGTGGTGTGAGTATGGTGTGTGAGTTGTGTGGTGTGTGTGTGTGTGAGTCAGCGTGGTGTGTGGTGTGTGTGTGTGATTGTATGTGAGCATGTGTGATGTGTGGGGTGTAAGTGCCTGCTGGACCCGGTGAGTGGTAAGCGATGCAGCCAGAGAGGTCAGCAGGGGTCCCAAGGACTGCGAATGACATGCTAAGGAGCTTGGACTTGATCCTAAAGGCGATAAGCAGACAGTGGTGGTTTCAAGCAGAAAGTAGTCATGTTTGTACTCGAAAAGACTTGTGCTGTGGAAGAGATGGACTCGAGGGAGACCACGGTGAGGCAGGGAGACCAGTTAGACTGGGGCTGTTGCAGTCATCCCAGTGGAAGACAATGGTGGTGTGAACTAGATGGTGGAGACACACTGAGTCAGGTTATTCAGTAAGAAAGGTGGACACCCTATCTGCTGGGGAGTGAGAGATGAAGAGAGACTGTCCAGACTGTCTGCTGCCCCAGCTGAGGTGACTGGGTGGCTGGTGTTGACTCACCTGAGACCGAAGGCCACGCCAGCCCCTTTCCCAGCAAAGTGAATCCCTGTATAGTGCCTCTTTCTCTGGTCACTTCAGTGGCGTCACTAGGGGGGTAAGGGGGGTGTAGACTGCACCAGGTGATACTGTCAGGGGGGTGACACCAAAATGACTCTATACAAACATTCCTGTAGTTAGCTATAACAACAAAAAACATTTTTCGTAAGTCCAACTTACATGCATCAATCTACTTACAAGGCTAAAACTATGCTAATTTGCTTTTTGAACCTTCTCATGAACTCCAGTCAGAGCTGTCATATTACCCAGTTACAATGAGCTTTGAATCACGTGGTTTCACCTGCACTTGCTACAACGTGTGCTGTTTCGTTGCTATGGGTGTTTTTACAGTCACTGATTTTGTCAAATTTTTCTGTGTTTTAGCTACTATACTGTGGTAATTAATATTTGTGAACCTATATCAATAACTTTTTGAGAATGAAGTAGTAATTAAACAAAAAGGAGTGGTATACAGGAATCACTCTACAGCTAACATCAGTACAAAAAACATTACTAAGGATTCTGTATGGTCTGGTACGGGAGGAGGTCCATGCGAGTGTGACACCATGAGTTACCGCACTGGGTGACACAACCCTAGTGATGCCACTGGGCCACTTCTTCATCCTGGGTACCCACCCTGCCCATTCCCTGACTGGCCTTCCTCTTGGGGTCAGCCTCTTATTCTCATTTTTCTTTGAGAATTGATCTTGACCTTCAGTTCCCCACATTCTGGGCCCACTCTTCTCTCCTGTGCTCTTGTGCACAGTCCTACCTCCTAAGTCCCCTGTTCCAGAGCTTGGGCCCATCCTCCACAGGAGGGACACAGGAGGAAAGGCAGCTTGAGAGGTGTAATCAGTGTGGACACATGGGCTATGGGGGCTTACAAGTGTATGCACCAGGCCCCTCACAGTTCAGGACTGAGCCCAGGTCAGGAAGGGGGAGGTGCAGGATGAAGTTCAGGGCTGGGGCTGGCTTTCATCTTGGAAAAGAACTCCAGGGAGTCCAGGAATTCCAAGTTCAAATCTGACCTTCCAGGTTGTTACAAAGGATTATTTGCCAGAGTAAGAAGATAGGACATAATATAACAGTTTTTAACTTAAATGAAAACTTCTAAATATCTTGACATATGGTACGTGGGCCTCCATTTGTGCTCTTGCCCAGGGTCCTACGAATGTTAGGGGTGCTCCTGGGAGGAGGAAATGGAGCTTTGGAGGAAGAGAACGAGTTATATTTTGGACGAGCTGACTTTAAGACCTCCACACAACATCCACGTGGAGCGTCCACAAAGCAGTGGCCATATAAGCCTGAAGCTCAGAGGAGAGGGCAGGGCTGGAGAGTAGATTCAAGAGTTGGTGATAAGTGAAGCTGCAGGAAGGGGTGAGACTGTCTGGGAAGAGTGTTTAGAAGAGGATAAAAGGGCTGGGGGACAAGTCCCCAGTGAGATCAGGCAGGGAAGGGAAGTCAAGAGACAGCTTCAAAGGCTGCCGAGGGGTCAAGCAAGAAGAATACTGACAATGTCCACAGCCTTTAATGACTGGAGGCATTAATGACCTTGGTTAGAGAGACTTCAACACTGAGATAGGTG